CAGAACGGCATGGCGGAGCGGGAGATGAGGACGGTGGTGAAGTCGGTGCCGACGATGCTGCTGCACATGGGTGTGCAGCACCACTGGTGGCACCTCGCTCTGCGGCAGGCCGTCTGGGTCCGCAATTGCCTTGAGAGGTCGACGTTGCCGTCGGGGACAACGTCGTACCAGCTGCTGACCGGGCAGAAGCCCGACTTGTCGCTGGCGCGGGTGTGGGGCTGCATGGCGCAGTTCCTCGTCCCCGAACAGCAGCGTGGTGGGAAGCTGAAGCCGAAGGCTAGGTGGGGCCTTCACCTCGGCGTGTCGGAGGAGAGCAAGGGCTGGGAGCTCCTCGACATCGACGCCAACCGGGTGGTCACCACGTCGGACGTGGTGTTCTACGAGGATCTATCGCTGGCCGAGTAGAAGTTGGAGCACGCGCCGGTGTCCGGACGGACGACGACCACCCTACCGACCGACACCTCGAAGACGACGCTGCCTCTGCTCGCCGAGGTCGGTGAGCTTGCTGATGAGGACGTCGAGGTCATCCGCCCTCCTTCCCCTTCCCCTACGACCCCTGCCCCTCCCCTCGTGGCCGACCTACGCGGGCTGACTCCTGTGTCGGCCTCCGGCGATGAGGGGAGTAGTGGGACGTCGCCTTCGGCGCCAGCCAAGGGCATCGCCGGTGGCCGACGTGACGAGCGGCAATTCGACGTTAGGGAAGGGCAGGTCGAGGAGGAGCAGCCGACTTGGGTGAAGTCGGTGAAGAAGGCACCAGCAAGGCAGCAGCTGACAGGGGAGCAGGCTGAAGTGAAGCCGACCACGGAGCAGTCGGCAACCAGACAGTCGGCAGGGGAGCCGACCACAGGGGAGAAGTCGGCCAGGAAGTCGACTGAGCTGCAGCAGGACGACGAGGGGGACGACGCCGAGGAGTCCACCAAGAGTGACGTGGTGGAGGTCCTGCCTGAACCCCGGAAGTCGGGCCGACTTCGGAGGCCGCCCGACTTCTTCGTCCCCGCTGCCTTCACCACGGTGTACGACGTGGACGACGACGACCTGGCGTATGACGACGCCGAGGAGGATGAGGAGTTTCCGGAGCTCGACCCCGACTTGCATGCCGACCCCGACCACCGTTGGGACATTACGACGATGACGGTGAAGGAGGCGTTGGCGAGCTGGAAGGGCCCGGCGGTGAAGGCCGCCATGGAGGAGGAGATCCGCAGCCTCATCAACATGGGCACTTGGGAGCTGGTCGAACGCCCACTCGGGGTGAACGTCATGAAGAACCGGTGGGTGCTGACGACCAAGTACCGCATCAACGATACCGTCGAGCGCGAGAAGGCGAGGCTGGTCGTGAAGGGCTTCACACAGGTGTATGGTGCCGACTACAATGAGACGTACGCGCCGGTGAGCAGCTACGTCACGCTGAGGATCTTCCTCAGCATTGTCGCCGTCCTTAACCTCAACCTGATGCAGCTCGATATGAAGAACGCCTTCCTGCAGAGCAAGCTCGACCGGGTGCTCTACATGCACCAGCCGGACTACTTCAACGACGGGACCGGCCGGGTGTGTAAGCTGCTGAAGAGCCTGTACGAACTGAAGCAGTCGCCGCTGCTGTGGTACAAGGCGCTCAACGACGTGCTGGTCGGCGCCGGGTGGAAGAAGAGCCAGGTCGACGAGGCTCTCTACTTCAAGGTCGACGAGGACGACGTGGCCTGCTGGGTGCTGGTCTACGTCGACGACCTGCTCGCCGCCAGCAGCAGCACCGAGATGCTGAAGGAGCTGAAGGAGCTGCTGGAGGCCGCCTTCGAGCTGCGTGAGATCTCGCCGGTGCAGAAGTACCTCGGGCTGGAGATCGTCCGCGACAGGTCGGCGGGGAAGCTGTGGTTGCACCAGCAGGGCTATGCCGACAAGCTACGTAGGCGCTTCCTCGACCAGGAGCAAACCAGGCGCACCCCGAAGACGCCGGTCTCGGACGACGCCTACGCCGAGCTCACCTTCAACGAAGAGGAGGCACAGGAGCGACAAGAGGAGGAGTACCGGCAGAAGGTCGGCTCGCTGCAGTTTGCGGCGACGACGACGAGGCCGGACATCGCCTTCGCCTGCAGTAAGCTGGGGAGCGGCCTCACGGTGAGGAGCGACCAGCACTGGCGCGAGGTCGACCGCTGCCTCGCCTACCTCGCCAACACGCATGACACCGCCCTGGAGTTCGGCGGTGGACTTGAGTCGCTGGAGCTGGTCGGCTACGTGGACGCCGACGACGCCGGCGATAAGCAGAACAGGACGAGCACGGGCGGCTACATGTTCGTCTACGGAGGGGCCGCAGTCTCCTGGTCGAGCCAGCGCATCAAGTGCACGACGTTCTCGTCGACCGAGTCGGAGTACGTGGCGGCAACTGAAGCCGGCAAGGAGGGACGTCGACTTCGTTTTCTCCTTGCAGAGTTCCGGCAGCTGGACGCCGAGACGCCGACTGTCCTTCGGGTGGACAACAAGTCGGCCATCACGGTCGCCGAAGGCATGGGGTTGACAGGCAACCTCAAGCACATGGAGCGGCGACAGGCTTGGCTGCAACATATGGTGAAGCGCGGGAAGTTTTTGCTGAAGTACATCCCGACCGCTGAGCAGCCGGCCGACTTTCTGACGAAGGCGCTGCACTTCCGGCCTTCAACCGGTGCTCCGTTGCAATCGGCCAAGTGCGTCTGGTCGACGTCGACGACGGCGATGACGACGTGCAGCAGTAGGTGCCATGCCCTCTTGCATGGCTGGTGCGGTGACCGACGTGCTGTGTGTTGGGGGCACGTCGACGAGCTATTCTTTGAGCTGTGCTGCCGTGTGGGCTGGAGGCCCAAGCGTGAACGCGGCAGGGGAGTGTCAACGGGAGTTGTGTTAGGCCTCGTCCTCGCTTGGGCGGAGCCGACTTCGTGGTCGGGTGTGAGGGTTGCAGCCGACCTACAGCAGTGGGCGGGCTGGTCGACAGGGCTGGTCGACCTACACGGGGGCCACTGCAAGGGTGGTCGACATGGGAGGTCGACCTGACTGTATGGTCGACTTGGGAAGTTGACCTGGCTCTATGGTCGACTTGGGAAGTCGACCTGGCTGTCTGGTCGACTTGGGAAGTCGACCTGGAAGGGTTGTCGACTTGGGAGGTCGACCAGACTGGCTGGTCGACTTGGGAGGTCGACCTAGCAGGGTGGTCGACTTAGGAGGTCGACCTGGCAGGGCGTCGACTTGGTGACGCCGACCTGGGGAAGCCGACGTGTTGCGGTCGGCTGACAGGAAGTGCTGGTCGACCTGGACCTGGACCTGGTCGACCAGGAGTGTTGTCGACCTGGAGTTGGTCGACCAGGGGGTGTGGTCGACCTGGTGAGGTCGACCGAAGGTGGTCGTCGGCCTGGGAGGTCGACGGGCACGTGGAGGAGCAGCTGGTCGACATGGTTGCATGGTCGACCAGGTTACCTGGGTGACGAGGTTCTGCGAAGGTGTGCGACGGTCGCCCAGGCGAAGTTGGCGAGTCCGACCTCGGTGGTGGTATCCCGAGGTCGACGTGGCTGATCGGATGCAGTCGTCAGCACGAGGTTGATTTGGTGTGTGCGCTGTGCAGGTGACGAGGCACGGCACGCCAATGACCTGCGAGCACCTGCGAAGTAGGTGCGCTGCTGTTCTGCCAACCTACGACGTTGGCACGGGGTCGACTTGCAGTGTCGGCAAGCCGCGACTTTGCACTGCTGGAACGCGGTCGACCAAGTCGTGCTGGAACGCGGTCGACCATGTTGCGCTGGCAGTCGTCCAGCTTGCAGGCTAGCCCTGATGTAGTCTTGCCTTGCCAACTTCTTTGTATCATTGTTGTCAACTTTTCTCTAGTGAAACTCTTGCCAAATTGCCCCGTGAACTAGCAAGCAGTGTGTGCACTAGGAAAACGACTAAGGACCAACGAACGCAGAGATCACACGAGGACCCGTGCCTAGCCCGTAGTCTAGCTCCCGTTATAGTAGTTATCTCCGCATCAAGGACCGTCTTATTCCATCGAGATGGTCCCTGCATCCCTACCAGCATCTCTACCTGTGTCTCTCTTGTATCTCACTCATCCTACGACCTCCCCTTTACTTGTTCCAACTCTGTCTCTCTTTGGCATGTTTTTTGCCCCCAGTGACCTGAGTAACAACAAGATGTCTGGCACAATATCGGACGAAATTACACGCTTGGTCTACCTCACACTGCTGTAAGGCTCACACTGTTGTTAGCCTCAAACCCACTACGCCCATTTGAGTAGCCCCTTCCCCCATCCGCGACATGCGCCCCAGTACGCTGTTGCACAGGTGCATGCTCTGTTTCCATGAGTTTATGCAGTTGATGACTTGCATACGCCCAGTACAATGTTCCTTGCTTGGTTGCCATGTGTGCGTCGACCCTGCTCCCAGCCTTACCCACCTCTGGATCCAACCAAGCTTAACCACAGCAACCGTGCCTAACACATCTTATTGCCAGTGTCTGCTCACTTGTCGAAGCACTCTTGCTTCCGTTTCTTTGCCAGTTGTTTGCTTCGTTGTTGCCAGTTGTTCGCTCGTTCGCTTCCTTGTTGAAGCACTATTGCTTCGGTTTCATTGTTTCTGTCTATGAGTCTCCACCTTCCTGTTGTTTTTCCACATAAAGGGATCTGAGCTCAAACCGTCTTTCTGGCACCATTCCCCAGGGGCTTTCTACTCACGCCAATCTAGAAGTTTTGTAAGTCCCCCATACACCAGCAAACCCGTAAAGGGCGTACAAACTTAACCACCAACTCAGTTCTTCAATGCTCGAGTGTAAGTCTTTTATCTTTGCACTCCCAGCCTCCAACCATGCGAATAAGAGTGTTTGCCCTCTTGTATCCGCTCTTCCCTGTTGTTTTCGGTCCCATTCCCCATCCTCCCATTTTTACCCACAGCAACCTGAGGAACAACCAGCTCACAGGGAAGGTCCTCGAGCCTGTGCCACCGGCAATCAAGACGTACAAGCTAGACAATAACTACTTGACTCAGGGGTTCATGTCTCCCCCACCATGCGATCAGGCCTACATCACATACCACAGCAACTGTGCAGACACGCCAGCAGAGGGCCTTGCGTGTGCAGCAGACAGCCCTCAGAAGACTGACCCCGTGTGCTCTACCTTCTGCAGGGTCTCCCCTACTTCCTTCGCGTGCAACGGCCATGGCGTCTGCTTCTTGGACGGCCCCAGCTGCATCTATGACGATAACTTTATGTTTGGGGAGTATCCTGGCAGCTGCGTGGCTGTGACAGGTAAGTGAATCAAGTCTCTCACCCATGCAGTATCCCATGGCATGCCTTGTCCCTAATTCACTTACACCTCTATGACTCTGCCAAACACACTATATTTTCATACTTGTCTTTTTCAAGTGCCTTTCTTATGGCTGGCAAGTGCCCCTTTTGAGAGCGCACATTTTGAGCTTCCCACATTCAGGTGGTAAGACGGAGCAGCAGCAAACTCCCACAGCAGCCATGCTCACAGCCACTGGCGACGCCTCAGTGGACGCAACACCCACGCTCACTCTCACGCCTGCCCAGCCGTCCAAGACTGGCAGTGTGTTCCTGGCATCGCGCGTGCCGCTCTTCTCCTACCAGCTTATCGGGGACAAGTGCGGCCGCGAGCTTGACTTTTCCTCCTCGTTCTCCTTCACTCTTACCTGCCCCGCTGCTTCTGGCTCTGAAGACTTTGCCTTTGTGGTGGCCTTTGATGCCACCCCGCCCACAACACCGGTGGTGGGCGGCATGGGGTATGTGGGGATGGGAGCGCGCAGCGTAGCAGTGGAGTTTGACACATCCAAGGATGCGGGCAACAGTGACCCTGACAGCAACCACGTGGGCATCAACACCGGCGTCAATATCACGTCGGTGGTAACCGCCAAGCCCAGCACCCCTCTCAATGACGGCAAGACTAAGCACGTGTGGATCAAGTACGACCCTTCCTCCATTGGCTCCTTGCTCGTCTTCCTCTCCTCCAAGGCATCCCCTCGCCCCACCACCCCCCTCCTGTCGGCACGCATCTCCCTGTGTGAGGAGCTCGCCCCCTCCTCATCGGAGTACACCTTTGCCATCGGCTTCACTGCTGCCTCGGGCACCCAGGCTCAAAGCCATGTCGTCTCCGCCTGGACCCTCTCCACCTGTGAGTGCACCCATGCATCCTTCTTTGTCTCTCACTTGTTGTTCCTGCCTTGTGTTTTTTGGTAAGGAAAGAAGAGAAGTTTTATGACCAAAGGACTGACTGCAGCCTTACCCCAATACAAGCGCTATGCTATCGTTTGACCTTTTCTACTTTTTTTCTTCATTTCTTTTCTTTTGTGTGCAGACTTTGCTAACCAGCCAGCTCCAGGTACGATATTCTTCCCTTCCTGTTTTGTTCCTTTTGAGGCTGGTATTAGAGTTGCACCTATAAACAGGTCTCGGTTTGGGTGCTCAGTAGCTCCTGCAACAATCCTCGTTGTGTCTACCTTGCACCCTTTCTTTATTCAATCGCAGTTGCAGCGCGGGGCTTTACCTTCGGCGAGGCGGCTCTCTCTCTGTCGGGAATAAATCTCTTCTTCCGCTATGCCAGCTCGGGCAGTAGTGCTGCTGAGGGTGGCCGTGACGTGTTTGGTGTGCGCCCTGCAGCTTCCTGGGCCAGGCCTGACTTCAGATGGCCTGTCAAGACACAGACAACTTGCGGTGAGTATGCTTGGACCTCCACTTGTACGCGAGGTCATACCACACGGTCCACACGGCGTTGACACTCTTTTGGGATGTGGATTGCCTTGTTTGGTGTTTGTAGCAGGTCTGACTGGTTCTCTCTAGGTGAGATCCGGGCCGTCAAAGTTTGTAACGTAAAGCTGAAAACGTACATACGACAAAAACAGGAGAAGTACTTATGTAACGAGCTCTTTCATGGCAAGCAAAAAAAACAAAAATAAAAAATAACACAGTGAATAGAAACGTGCTTTTTTTGGTAAGGAGAAAAGGCAGGCTTAGTAGCTCCTGTGAAGTATATGCGTCTAAGCATGAGAGGTGTGACTCAATCTTATGATGGGAGAGATGTGTATAGCTTAAGTTGAAAATGTCTATGATGAGATTCCTGGATAGCTTACTGCTCAAATTGCTCAGCACAATATTAAGGTTATGTTTGGGGATGGGAGGAAATGAGGAAAACAAAGGCAATCTCGCTGCCATTTTACACTATTGGTGATGAAGGCAAAGGCTGTCATGAAGACGAGAAGTTAGGGCTACATCTGGAAGCTGGTTTGTGATGTCATGTTGCTGCATTTGTGTGGGTCAGAGGTTTTTCCTTTCTTTTTTCGGCGCTAGGGCTGACGCATAGTTATCTTCCGGTTCTCTTGTGGTTGTTGGATGGTTTGCTCTTCCTGAATGACGGCGCATAGTTTCAGCTGCATGATGTATTAGGTCGTTTATTACAGTGAGGAGATAGGGGTTTGGATGGCCTGGCCTAGGCACAAGCAAGAGTTTACTGGGTAGGTGAAGGGTGGGGGAGGTTAGAGGAGGAGATGGAAATGGAGGCAAGCCTTACTTGCCTAAATGCGAGTAACAAGGCGGGTCGGGGCAAGAAAATGCTCGACTTGAGCAACACTCGACCTGCCTCGATACTAGATCAGGTTTCCCTGGGCTCGTCTTTTCCTAGGTTGGCAAATACGCTGTGGAGGGGGGGGGCGTATCACGTACAAATGCTTGCGTTTGTAAGCGATACACAAGTACGCGTCGTAAACGCTGAAATGCGCTCAGCCAGCCCGTAAAAAACAAAAGAAAGAAAGAAAGAAAGAAAGAAAAAAAAACACTAATCTTGAAATATATACCTCTATGCATTTGTATATACATATGTATACATATATGTATATATATGTATTTATACGTATATATACGTATATAAATATACATATATATATATATAAAATATCGAATTGATGTGTCACGAACTGCTACTAGGGTATCGCAGCTGTGAAAGTCGACGAGAAATCCAGATTTCAAGCACCTATCATTCCCACTCTCATAACCACACAACACCCAACTCAACCTCCCTATCCCAACCATTTCAAATTTCTTACTCCAGTCACTTCCCCATTTATATACACACGGGTGACGTCAGCACATGCCGCCCCGCCCGCCCTGGCACAGAGGGAATTGAGGCAAATCGAAAAACCCGCGGAATCCCTCCGGGCCCCCGAAAATTCCCGGCTGACCAGGCCAAAAAACCCTCCGAATCCCGCGGGTTCAATGTCGTATTCTTATGACAATATATATGTCAGCCGTAACAGTGGAAATTGAGGGACATTTGTCGAACAGTGCTCGACGGACATTGGCCAATCGCCGTCGAGCACCGTGCACCCCCGACAACACTGGTTACAACCGGTGGCAAGTCGCCAGGGAATCGCCTACACGGTGGCGCTGACGGTCGACGGTTGCGAAACGTGTTTCGCAACCGGCCGACGGTCGCAATCGACGGAGACGTCAACTGCGGCCGACCTGTCGCCTCATCGGTCGAGCGAACTGTCGCTGTCGGATGGGCGACGGGTTACGTCTGTCGCAATCAAACGGTCACGTCAACTGCTGACTGCCACGTCAAATGTCTCAGACTCCACGGGGAGCAACATCAGCCCAAGGTCGCTGTATAAACCTGAATCCATAGTAGAAGCACCACAGTTTTCTCTGAAGGCCAGGATTTAGGGAGAAACGGTAGCTTTCGGTGGGCAGTGATGGAGACCGATCCGTCGACGACAGCGCCTTCCCGGCAGGCGGACGTAGGACCGATACCTGTCGAATTGGAGTCCATCTCGACACCACCCCCTTCGACGTCTGGAGCCAGGCCGGTTTCTTCCGCGCCCCCTTCGACGACGCGTGCCATACCGGAGGTGGCAGCGCCCACCTCGACGTCGCGAGCCATACCGGTAGTAATACAGCCCGTTGTTACGGACCAGCGTTCGGTAGGTATTCCGGTCACTGTTGAAGTGGGTGGTGCACAGACCGAATTCCCTTCGACAGGTCAATCCATACCTGTTGTCGTAGAACCAATCTCGACAACAAATGCCCCCTTTACACACGAGGCTCCAGCTCACCGTGCACCATCGTCGACAGCCCACCGCTCGACGGAACCTTCTGCTGGTGCACCGACCTCGACAGGTGGGCGACGTAGGAGAGCGAGGGTTGTTCCGCCTGAGGTTCGACAACAACCCCCAGCCGGCACATCCGCTTCTCGACCCACCCCCGCCGCTCCTAAGCGCACTTCGACGAGACCAAGCAGAGAGGACTTAGCCAGGAACGTCCCTGCAGCGACGGACGATGAGGATGATCGGACGGGAGAACAGCAGGAGGCAGACGATGTCGAACCGCCGGACCCTCTGCGGCCTGCTGCGGCAAATATATCAGAGGAGGATGCCGCGCACATTCTCGGCGACCAACAGGGCGCAGACAATCCGTACTTGGCGACGGGAACACTTAAGAGCAGGATTCTCCGTTGTGAGGTTCCGCTGCTGGGAGTTGACCAGGATTCCACACGGCCGAACTATGTCTCTGGAAGCATGCACTACAAAGCTTGGGCCTGCCTAACTCTGGCACCCGAGAGAAGCAACGGAGTGCCTAAAGAGGAGCAGGTCACCCACGAGGACGAGATCGGTAGGGAGATCGGCGACGATATGGGGCCGAGATGGAGGGAGGCTCTGCGTAACGAGGAGCACCTGCATGGGCCGAAAATATCGAAATGGCGCTTGCGCGCGTACGTCGAATGCAACGGGTAGCAAGCACAGGTAAGCGACAGAACACATGCTCGACGAAAGCATTGCAGGTCTAGAGTGGGCTTACGAGTTTATCGAAACTCTGTATCAAATCCAGACGAATGTCGATGCGGTTCAACATTTCCTCCTTGACGGGGGTCACAACCTGTTGGGTCATCGCGTACTCGGCACGAAGCTGCCTCTTCATCCAACTGCAAGGTAACGGACAGCAGGGTCAAATCGTCCAGCGCAGCAGCTCGACAGCAGGGTGGCAAAACGATCACTCACTTGAAAACAACCTGCGCCAGCGACGATTGGTGGTTCACCGCGTCAAACTTGTCCTTCGAATCGAAGTGCATCATTCGAGTTCGACAGCCACGGTGCCTCGGAGCCAGCAGTTCGTCGGGGCGCGATACCACAAACAGGCTCGAGTGGGAGCCCGGTGCCACAGTCAGGCTGCATGCAGAGCGAATGCACATAAGCCCGGGTTTACGGCTAAACACAAAGCACGCAAGGCGAGCGAGTGTCGAACTCACGTGGTCCGCAGCAGAACGAAAATAACTTGCTTGCCGAGCAGGCCATCGAGGTGGTTGGCCGCAAAGGCGACCGGTGTGGGACGCGCCATCTCTTCGTGCGCACGCGTCGAGGTGATGATCGACACCATGGGGAGCTGCTCGACGGACATCAGTTCCCGACAGAACAGGCTGCACAGAAACCTAGCGAGCGGTCACCGACAGTAAAGCAGGCCCAACCGACAATGCTCGACAAGAAGCGTACGCGATGCCCGCGGTGACCATCCTCTCGTCGAGCTCAGCCTTCAGCGCCTCCTCAATCGCGTTTAACTGATCCTCGAACACCTCCACCTCGATCCCGCCTGCGGTTAGGATGAGGCCGCGCCGAACGGTCGGGTCGACTACGGGTTGGGAGGCGGGCCCCGTTGCCATGGCAGGCCTAGAAGAAGGGAGAGCGGGAGAGCTGGGAAGCTTGAAACTAGGGAGTAGGGAGAGAAAAGTTGAAGAAAACAGCAGCAAAATGAGAGCTCTCTCAGGCTTTTAGCTGGTTGACATCCCCCCCACCGGGTCAGTCTCGGGTGCAAGCGCCACGAGGCAGGACGCGTTCCGCGACGGCCGGAGGAGGAGCTTTTCTCAGGGGGCGGCGGGGCCCTATTGGCCTCGACGTGAAATCTGTTGCGCGCATGCATGAGGTGGGGCGCTTTTCATGCAGGATGGAGGCCCTTTCACCGAGGTGGAGGGGGCGTTCGACACGTCACCCGGGTCGAGCGCGAACCGAAACGGGCCCTTTCAGGCGAGTGCAGTGCAGCGCGGCGTGGATGGGCACCGCTTCCGTCAACTCGCGAAATTTCGCGGACGGGTTCCGTCACCCGGGCGAGGGTTCCGTCGGTTACCGGACGGAACCCGTCTACGAACCGAGCGTGGGGTTGGGCTCGGTTGGGGGGGGTGTCAGAACGTTATAGCATAT